ACCTACATGCAAATACACTATACACACATACAAATACTACATACACATGAGAAAAAGAAAAAAAGACCATTAAGAAAATGAAAAGAAGCTGGGCAGTGGTGGCACACACCTTTAATCTCAGCACTCAGGAGGCAGAGATAGGTGAGTCTTTTTGAATTTGGGGCCAGTCTGATCTACAAAGCAAGTTCTAGGACAGCCAGGGATACATAGAAAAACCCTGTCTCAAAAACGAAGCAAAAAATAAAATAAAAATAAAAAAAGAAGAAAAGAAAGGCAGAAACTGAAAAGATAAACAAGAGACAGAGTGCTTTCAGAGGCTAGAGAGACGGATGTCTAGATGGCTAAGAGCACTCGCTACTTTCTCAGAGGACCCAGTTTCTGTCCCTGTCCCAGAGAGAGAGGAAAAATGTTAACTGAATGAGAGGGCAAGGAAAAAAAATAATCAGCCATAAAACCATATACATGTTCCATAGCAGTTCTAGTCTTCTATTCTTGAGTGGGGGGAAGGTAATTGTGAATGAGAGGACAAGGGAGAAAAATCAGCCATAAAGCCATCCGTGTGCCATAGCAGTTCTATTCTTGGTTAGCTACCCCAAAAGAAATGAAAGCAGATGCCCAAAGCAGTGAGCAGATGCCTCACTTTCAGTGAGGGTGGTGTAGGTGAGCATTATTTATAATAGCCACAAGCTGGGACCAGCATAATGTCCATCAACTGATGAGTGTGTTCTAGCCATGCAGTAGAGTACTTTCTTTTACATTATGTTTTAATGGTTTTTAGTGGTGAATCAATTTTCCAGATTCCTTTACCCAGCATTGTATCTTTGATAACATTTTTCCTTGTTTCATCACAACTTTACAGCTACAGTTCCTTGAGGAATTTTCAAAATAAGTGGGTTTGTTTGTGTGAGTTCTTATATGTACCAAAACATTTTTATCCTTGCGTAAGCCTCATTTTTTCTCAGAACTTTAAAGATATAAAACTCTGGCCTATGGCCATACCACCTAGAATGCTACATTCTCATCTCAGAAGCTAAGCAAAGCCCCAGCTTAGTACTTGGATGGGAAACCTCCTGGGAATAATGGATCTTATAGGCTTTTAAGAAGGAGGGAGGGAAACTGGGTGGTGGTGGCGCACGCCTTTAATCCCAGCACTTGGGAGGCAGAGACAGACAGATCTCTGTGAGTTCGAGGCCAGCCTGGTCTACAAGAAGGATGGAGAGCAGGAGGATGGAAAGAAGGGAGGAAAGGAGGGAGGACGGAGAAGATATAATACTCCATTGTTTACTTGTTTCCTTTGTTGGTGAAAATTTTTATATCTCAGACTTTTGATTCTTCTCTGAAAACTCCTGTATCCTTTAGTCTTTAAATTCTGCTATTTTGGGACTGAAAAGATGGCTCAGTGATTAAGAGCACACTGTTCTTCCAGAGGACCAGGGTTCAATTCCCAGCACCCACATGGCAGGTACCAGTTGTCTGTAACTCCGAGATCTGGCACCCTCACACAGACATACATGCAGGCAAAATACCAATGAAAATAAAAATAAAGTTCTGCTGTTTTATGGCTTTCTTAAGGACGTTTAGTCAGCATATTGACACTTCCAAGTCGTATGAAACTTGCGCTTTGTTTCTGTGGTTTTTTGTTTTGTATTTTTGGAAACTTCTTGGGAAGATCTTCTATTTCTAACTCACATTGTAGTTTGCTCCAATTATCATAGTTAACTGAAATTAGCCTTCACAGTGTAAGAACAGATAGATGGTCCTGAACGTAGTGAACTTTCTCTACACTTGCAATATTAGAATTTGTCCCAAAATGAATAAATAGAACAACGTTAAGAGTGTGGCATGTCTTGTATATTTAGCAAGTCTAAAGAAAGAATGTTTTTAAATTATCTGGCTAATCCTTCTGATGTCCTTTGTGGGTTGGTACCCAAAGACGTAATGTCTCCTCTGCCCCCCAATTCATTACACTTGTGATTCCCTCATGTTATCCTGGGTGCATGTCTCTCCTTTAGAATGCCGATTTTACTTGTCTATTTGGTAATTGCTTTGGCAGTTTGCTCATCTTTGTGTTACCTGAGAGTTGAGTAACAGACCCACAGTGATGAGGGAGGAGAAGGTCATGGCATTGCGCTCTTCTCCAGCTCAGTCTGCAGCCTTGCTGCACTAGCCTGTGGGTGTACGGCCCGGCTCTTCCAGATGTCGCTCATCTGTTAATCATCCTGATAAGTCAGAGTCTTTCTAATTCAGCCCTATGTGTCCACTGGCGCTGACTTGAAGCTCTCCCCAACTACTCCAACCTGTGACTTCCATCAGGTACTCTCTTCCTGCCCTACCTTGTATCATCATAACTTTCATCTGCTTCCAGAAGACTCTGAGATCTTTTCTCTTGTCCCCATACATGACTGGTATTTATTGGATGTAAATGTTATTTCTAGAGGGAAGTTCTCCCTAACTGCCTGCTGTCGAGTGCTTCTCTAGTCACAGTCTGTCACATCTCTTCAGTTTACTTCCGTCATAGCCCTCATCTCGAGTTACTACTTCTCCACCACTCTTCAGAGCTCAGTACAAAGTCTGCTGGGACCTGTTTTCTGTTTACTGCTCTGACTTAACTTATAGGGCAGTGCCTGGCATACAGTAGACATTTGGTATATATCTTTTAAAAATATGTGTCACATCTATTTGAATTACCTTAAATTTTAGGTTTTGTGCCAGGAGACTCAACTGAACATTTTGTATTAATGTCTTTATTCACAGCAACAACAAAAACCAAGTTAACCAAATACTGCTCTTTGTCACAAAAAAAAAATCACAGCATTAATCCTTTGAACAGTATAAAATAGAATGTTTTTAGCTTCCTATGTCTCAACCCACACATCCTTAAATAAAAGCTTGAGGAAGAAATAAAAAAGCTTTGATGTTGTAAAAACACCATCACAAGATGACTCAGAAGTCAAAAGTGTCTTTGTCAGTAGCTTCTCCAACTAGATGAGGTACGGGTAGCCCCAGGCTATAATGACAGGCTTCACCTTATGCCTTGTTAGCAGGAGGCCCTTTAACAAACTCAAATCCCCTTGCCTACTTTTCAAAACCCTTAGACAGTTTAGGATTCGCTCTGCTGGATAAAATTTTTATGTTTACCTCCAACATCTCACTTTTAAAGTAAACATTGAAGTATTAGCTAGCCAGCTGAACAGTATGTGAAGTTATAAATCATTTTACAGCTTAAAAACATGCTTTAAGGCTGACAAGATGGGTCAGTAGGTAGAGGTGCTTGCCACCAGTATTGACAAGCTGAGTTCAGTGTCTGGGAACTGACTTCTGCCAGTTGTCCTGTGATTTCCACACACGTACTGTAGTTTGTGTACATGCACCTACACACACACACACACACACACACACACACACACACACACACACAAACACTAAAATAAAATATAATTAAAAATTTTAAACAAGGCTGTACATGGTGACACGTGCCTTTAATCCAAGCATTTGGGAGGCAGAGGTGATGTAGGAGAGTCTTCTGTATTTCTGTTACTCTCATTGGTTAATTAATAAAGAAAACTGCTTGGCCTGATAGGTCAGAATATAGGTAGGCGGGGAAGACAGAACAGAATGCTGGAAGAAGACAGTGAGGCAGACGCCATAGCTCTCCTCTCCAAGATGGATGCAGGTTAAAATCTTCCCAGTAAGCCACCACCTCGTGGTGCTACACAGATTATTAAAAATGGGTTAGATCACCCGCCCGCTCCCACTACACAGAGGCAGGTAGATCTCTGAGTATGAGTATGAGACCTAAGATAGAAACCTGAGGCCAGCCTGGTCTACATACTGAGTTCCAGTACAACCAAATAAAACAAAATTTAAAAATTCAGGGTTGGAGAGTTGACTCAGTGGTTGTCTTAGTGTTTTTATTGCTGTAAAGAGACACCATGAACATGGCAACTCTTGTAAAGGAAAACATTTAGTTGGATATCTTATAGTTTCAGAGGTCTGGTTGGTTCATTATCATCATGGAGGGGAGCATGGTGGTGTAGAAGCAGACGTGGTACTGGAGAAGGAGCTGAGAATGAAAAAGGAGCTACATCTTGATCCACAGGCAACAGGAAGTAAACTGAGTCACTGGGCATGGCTTGAGCATATATATAAGACCTCAAAGCCCACCTCTACAGTGACACACTTCCTACAACAAGACCATACCTACTCCAGCAAAGCCACACCTCCTAATAGTGCCTCTCCCCAAGTTTATAGGGGACAATTGCATTTGAATTACCATGGTGGTTAAGAACACTTGTTTTTATAGAGGACCTGAGTTCAATTCCCAGCACCCATGGGGTGACTTGCAACCATCTGTAACTCTAGTCCCAGGGTATCCAAAGCTTCCTTCTAACCTTTGAGGACACTGGGCATTTAAATGGTATACATATATACATACAGGGAAAACGCTCATATACATAAGATAATAACATTAAGCATGAGGGTGGAGGTGTGGATCAGTGCTAGGGCACTTGCCTAATGTGCATCCTACCTTAGGTTTGGGTCCCTGCATGTACACATACACTAAATGATTTGTTTTATGGGATAATCCTTTAATTAAATGTTAAGTGAACAAAACTAAAGAATCTAATAGTCATGGTCACTGCTTAGGTCAGCTCCCCTGCCTGCCCTCTCAGTGGGTCTTTATCACTAGGCACATTAGTTCTCTCAGCTTCCATATAGTGTTACAAATTTTCAACAGCATAGAAAATAATTTCCTACATAGGGGACAAATTTATTCACATGATTTTCTTTGAAAATATTTTTATCTATACGGAAAAAGGAGAGGACATTTTATAGAACACAATCAAAATTCCTTTTCCATATTATTAGATACAAACCATTCAGAAGTCTACTCTATATTCATAGGCTTCTACCAGCAAGCGGAACTAACCTTACAGAATTAACATCTTACTTTTGTAATTATTAGAGTAATTCTTTTAATTTTGTCATCTTTTATTTAGGCAAAGATGCAATTTACACTATTCCAGTAAAAAACATTCTTGCTGTGGAAAAACTGGAAGAAAGCTCTTTCAACAAGAAAAATGTAAGTTGTATAAATATTGAACGCATTTTAAATATTTGTATATACATTATTTTAATATTTGCCATTCCAATCTCTAAGTAATATCCCAGTTTTGTCTACTATTGCCACTCAGCTGGTGCAGGACCTTCCAGTCGTGAGATGACATCCTTGTTCCTCACTATCTCCTCATCCCTTTGTCTTTGCTCAAACTTCCTCCTGTATCTAAAATTACCTCGCTTTGTTCTTGTGTAGATAATGACCTTCCTTTGGACATGTCTTACTGCTTAGTACCATCAGCTAAGACCGTCTTAGGATGTCTATTGATGTGAAGAGTCACTATGACCACAGCAACTCTTATAAAGAAAAACGTTTAAATTGGGTACCTTACAATTCAGAGGTTCAGTCCATTATCATCATGGTGGGACATGGCAGTGTGCAGGCAGACATGGTGCTGGAGAAGTAGCTGAGAGTCCTACATCTTGGAGGCAACAGAAAGTGGCCTGTCTCACTGGGAGTAGCTTGAATATAGGCCCACCTCAAAGCCCACCCACAGTGACACACTTCAACAAGACCATACCTCTTGATAGTGCCATTCCGTTTGGGGGCCATTTTCCTTCAGACCACCACAGGCACTGACTTGCTTAGAGAGTAACAACTCTTTAAGATACATTAGCAGCCATTACTTAGCCAAGCAACTGGGTCTCTTTCTGAGTACTTACTCTGTTCGTGTACTATGTGTTGATTTTAAGGTTTTTTTTAACTTTTTGTCTTTATTACTAATAAAGATGTTCCAAGTGATACATACAGAGAAGACACTCTACGTCCAAGCAAACAACTGTGTGGAAGCTAATGAGTGGATAGATGTGCTGTGCAGAGTGAGCAGATGCAACCACAACCGGCTCAGCTCTTTCCATCCGTCGGCATATCTCAATGGGAACTGGCTCTGCTGCCAGGAGACCGGTGAAAGTACACCAGGCTGCAAACCATGTACTGCGTAAGTTCCTTTCTGATGAAAGAAGTTGTGATTCAAAATGTCTGTCCATATAGTGGATATGGATAGGAAAACAAGCTAAGTAAAAATAGCTACACATAAAAGCCACATATTCATTGAAAATACTTTATAAAAGGTGTCTATAAGGGCTTGGGTTGTTGTCTAGTGGTAGAGTTTTTGCGTGACACACACAAGTACTTTGGTTGGTTCCTAGTACCACAAAAAAAGATAAATAATATAGAATAAGTAAATTCATAGACACATACTGTAAATTAGTGGTGGCTAGTGACTGGACGGATGGCAGAATGGACACTGATAATGAGTGTAAAGTTTCTTTTATGGCTGATGAAAATATTCTGAAATGGTTGTACGTGCCTAGAGGTGGGAGATCTGAAGGGTCAGATTAAAGGTTAATGGTAGAGCATTTGCCAAATATGAGCAGTGTTCCACTGCATAATCAACACCATTAAAAGAAGAAAAGCCAGCATCTGAAGCCTGAGCGAGGCACAGAGAAGAGGTAGAGGAACGGCTCAACAGTTAAGAGCACTTACTGCTCTTGCAGGGGACCCACATTAAGCAACTCTCAACTACCTACCTCTCTAACTCCGAGGATTCCAATGCCTGTGGCTTCATCAGGCACCTGCACATACCCACACATGCGCTAATCAAAAATAATTTAAAAAAATCTAAAATTATATCACAGAAGTCCACTAAACATTCTGTTTTAGATATTACAGAATAGCCATTGTTGCCCTGTATATTTTGTTATTAATGCATCGTTTTGTGAAGAGCCAAAGATTATAAAAATGGTTTTATTAGGACTGGGGAGTGGTTAAGGATGCTTGCTTCTCTTGTAGAGACCCCAGTTCAGTTCCAGAACCTATGTAACTCCTGCTCCAGGGAACCTGATGCCCTTTTCTGGGCTTGGTAGATACGCACACATGTACACAGATACACACATACACTTTAGAAAAATACTTTTAAAATAATTTTGCTTCAGAATCGTCTTTAAGACTTGAATCCGTAACAAACAAATACTGTGATCCTGTTTAATTATCTCAGAAACTAATTTCAGAGGTCCTTTTCTAAAATTCTAAATCTAGTTTTAGTCTCAGTTTATCAAAAATCTTTTTCATGTTAAAAGAGAAAAATTTTCCAATGTGTTTTTCTTTTTATCATAGAGGTATCCCCGCAGACATCCAGGTAGATATTGATGAAGACAGAGAAGCAGAAAGAATTTATTCCCTTTTTACCCTCAGTTTACTTAAGCTGCAGAAGATGGAAGGTAAACCCGTGCTGTACTTTGATAAAACCAGATCTTTCATTACTAATTTCTGAGTTATTTCTTTGATTTTTTTTAAAGTTGAAGATATTTATAGATTTCCTAAGTTACTGATAATGAAGTTCACAAACTGTCAAAGGGGGCATTTATCTTAGTATTCATAAAGTAAAATTACTATTCTTTTTTTGTTGTGGTTTTTTTTTGGTTTTGAGGTTTTTTGGGGTTTTTTTGGTGTTTTTTTTTTGGAGGGGGGGAAGGGGGTTAAGACAGCATTTCTCTGTAGCTTTGGGGCCTGTCCTGGAATTAGGTCTCATAGACCAGGCTGGCCTCCACCTCACAGAGAACTGCCTGCCTCTACCTCCTGAGTGCTGGGATTAAAGGCGTGTGCCACCGCCACCCTGCTTGTTTTTTGTTTTTCGAGACCAGATTTCTTGTAGCTTTGGAACCTGTCCTGGAACTATCTCTTGTAGACCAGGCTGGCCTCGAACTCACAGAGATCCGTCTGCCTCCCCGAGTGCTAGGATTAAAGGCATGTGCCACCACGCCCAGCAAAACTACTATTCTTATGTAAGCATGGTGGTTCTACTTTTTTTTCATGGGAAAAAATGTTTATTTTGAAATTATTTTAGTTTAGAAATACAAAACCTCTTGGGGAGGGGAAAAGAAAGAAAAACACAAAGTATACAGGCAACTTTTTACTTCATAAGCTTCTCATACCCTCATTGCTCCTAGTTCCAGCGAAGAGGAAGCACTCAGCCACCCACAATAATGTTATTAATAGGGATATGGATCAGTTTCACAAAGAAGCTAATGAATCCCATGATAGCAAATCCTATGGCTATGGCCATGGCAATCTTCTGGAATTCTTTTCTGTCGGGCTTGGTGCATCTTTTAACCAGCTGAACTGAGTCCTTTACGAACTGCCGACTTGGCTCAACAAACTGCATTACCTGATCCATGGCTGATTGCGGGACGGCGGCTTGAGGAGGCAAAGACACGTAGCTTTGGAGAGGACTTGATAGTTCTATTTTGTAACATCATTAGAGTATAGTCAAAGACAATCTCTCCCTTCAAAATCAAAAAAATATTTTTAATTATACTACAGATTACATTGGTGGAATTTAGTTTTCTGATCCTGTTTCTCTGCTCCTTACAGAGGCTTGTGGGACTATAGCAGTCTATCAAGGGCCGCAGAAAGAACCTGATTATTCCAACTTCACAATTGAGGATTCTGTTACAACCTTTAAGACAATTCAACAAATAAAAAGCATCATAGAGAAGCTAGATGAGCCCCATGAGAAATACAGAAAGAAAAGATCAAGTAGTGCAAAGTACGGAAGCAAGTGAGTATCCTCAGCCCTGCTGCGAGGCTGACCCAGCCTGTCTCCTGTGCCTGCTTCCCTGACACTCACTCCCTTTGCTTGTTCAGTTCAGCTGTTGTTGCGTGATGTCGGTGCTGTACTTCATTGCTGCTTTCAACGTCGTGGTCAGTTGTAATTCTTTGCTTGAACGATTAGTAGTTTTTCTTTTTTGTTTTTGTTGTCTCTATTTCTCACAACCCCTTACATTTATAATGAGTACCAAAACAAGCAAGCTGTAACAGTGCATGCAAGCATTTGAGAGATGATTCCAAGTGCTTCATCTCAGACCTAGAAGATGAGATGGGTAAGGACAGCAACAGCTGACATGTACTGGGGGCTTGTTTCTCTCAGGATGTCACAGCACTGGACACCCTATCAATCAGATTACTCCCAGCAGCCAGTAACAAACCAAGCTTATACAGACAGTTAATGCCTAGTGCTGGGCTCTGTCTTGGGAACTGTATAGCACCTAGGGTACTTACTCTAAGTCTTGAAGCTTTTTTCTTACAGTATCAGGTGAGCCACAGTAGTTCAGAACCCCACTTTTTTTTTGAACAGAAAGCTTTGTACATTACAAAGGTTGTATTGTGAACATCCTAATTCTGTATTTTCTTCATTAGTATCATTAAATCTCTTCCAACAAGAGTTTTCTAATTTTCCTGCACCCATTTGAAGTTCTTAGCCAAGGCTTGACCATCCTTAAATACGACCTCACCACCAGGCATGGTGGCACACCCTTTAATCCCATCCCAGCACTCAGGAGGCAGAGGCAGGCAGAGCTCTCTGAGTTCAAGGCCAACCTGGTCTACAAAACAAGTTCCAGAATAGCCAGGCTGTTACACAGAGAAGCCCTGTCTTGGGGGGGGGGGCAGGGTGCCTCATCATGTGTGCATGCCATACCTTGCCCAGCTCGACTGCTGGTGGTGCTCTTGCTTACTGTCCAACCTACTGATCCTTGGAGTGTTACTTCACACATCTGTTTTCTTTCTTTAATTGGCAGGAGAGGGGACTTGACCTGAGAAAATAGCTTGGTGTTAGTGTGGTTGACTAGCAAATAGCGGGGGAGGGATGGGGGGGCAGTGCATGGGGCAGCAGTGAACAATCAAACCCTCTTATACTAAATATTTTGTTTATTTTCCTTTCCTATACCATCATGTGAGCTCCGTGAGTTATGTGTCTGTCTTGCTCAGTACTGTACCCTTAGCTTCTAGAGTAGTACCTAAATGTAGTAAGTGATCTATAATACTTGTTGAATTAATAAAGCAAGACTCAGTAGATGAAAGATCAAGGAAAATTAGAAGTCCTTGATGGGTTCTGTATATGTCACATCTTTAATTTGTATATTCTTAAAGAGTATTTTTCTTTTACTGTTTTGTAGGGAAAATCCAATTGTTGGGAAAATATCATAGTTTGATCAACTGATGGAGAACTGGAAAATATTCCTTTTCATGAAGTTTTTTAATTCACCCGATCATGTTCATACTATGTAAGAGCAGACATTGGCTTTGATGACACCTGCTTTCACAATGTATTTAATATTTAATGGTTGAAATGAACTGTTTGGGAATTCTGATATCCGTGATTTTATTACTAGAGAATTTGAAACCCAAGATTTCCTTCAAATCCATATCATTGCAGCTTCTTTTTGATGGAAAGAATCTTTCTAAGGAAGGTTCCTAAGAAGCTTGTAATAAAGGGAGCACTTCCTAGTAAGAAGCCATCTCTACTTGTAACTCTCTTATGTGTGGACTCATTTTCACTACCGTTAGTGCCTGCTCTGTACTGCCAACATCGTCCTTTACTAGAGAATTGCAGTTCATTGTCAGTTCTGAACTTTCGTTGAGTTCATCTGAACCCTCCATCTCTAAAAAGGAAAAAGAAGAAAAAGCAAAAACTTTTTTCCTTTAGTCATTACAGGTTATGGAGACAGAGACGAGGACGTCAGAACACCCTTGAATGTTGGTGGATGTTTTGTCTGGTCACAGGTGTAAGAGTGCTCAGATAGATATCAGGGAATATGTGCTCCTGTGTGCACCATGTTTACATTTGAAATGAATGATGGCAGATGAAATAAAATGAGACCACTAAAATGTTTTTCATTGTTTTAAATATCAGGTACTCATTTTCTTAATTTGAGAATTCAGTTTAACATTACTCCTGAAGGCTTCTCTTCCCAACCAGAAGAGAATAGTAAAGGTGGTGAGAAATCACTTGACCTTGCCTGCTGTTCATGTTGTAACAAGGGTGTGTAAAGATGCCCTCCATATAGTGTTAGGTCCTGCTCTAACTCGAGAACTGTCACTTGGCGCACTTTAATAATCTGGCACATTCCAGATTGTAGTTTAGATACTCCATGGTATCTATCTTTTATGATCAGTTAAATGATCAGTGTTTAAGCGTAGAACAATGCTTTTCTGAAAATGTTTGTATTTTATTGCTGTTTCCTTATTGCCTGCTAACCAAATGGAATTAGGTTCAGCAGCTGTTGAAACCTGTTTTTCCTTGTCTACTCGGGTCCTGAAAATAGTAACTATCAATAAGCAGTTGAAGCAAGTGCCACCCTGGAGAGGAGTGATGTGCTTGGCTTCATCAGTATTAAAACCATGGTACTTACTTGTCTTTTTTAATTCAGAACATTTTCTAAGTGTGGTATTTACCTTTGAACCTTGGGGTATTTACGTATGTTCCTGTTGAAATGTGACTTATTGGTGTAAGTCCAACTAGCTGTGATTTTCTGTTTCGTTGAGCTTAAGCTGTAATTCAGAATATATTGCCAATTATGTTGTTGCTAGGTAATTGTTTTTACATTGTTATTAGGTAATTATTTTTAAAGATTTTTAACACAGAGTTTTCCCATAAAAAAAAAAATCATGATTGAAAAATGTATTTTTCTAAATGACTTTTGTTGTTGGTTGTTTTTACTCTTTGTTCTTTTGTGGGGCCTGCCATCCAGCTCCCAAATTAATCACATGGAGATTTATTATCACTTACAAATGCCCAGCCTTAGCTTGGCTTATTTCTGATCGGCTTTTCTTAACTTAAATTATCCCCTCAACCTTTTACCTCTAGGCTTTTTCCTTCTTATTTTTGTAATCTTAGTTTCACTCTTACTCCGTGGCTGACTGGGTCCCTTCTTTTCTCTCTCCTGATCTTTCTTGCTTCCTGAATTCCTCTTTTCTCCTATTTATTCTCTCTGCCTACAAGCCCCACCTATCCTTTGTCCTGCCTTGCTATTGGCCATTTAGCTCTTTGTTAGACCAATCATGTGTTTTAGACAGGCAAAGTAACACAGCTTCACAGAGTTAAATAAATGAAACATAAAAGAATGTGACATATTTTTTAATTATTAAATGTTTCATAACATAAACAAAGGTTAACACATCTTAAAATAATATTCTGTAACAGACTTTTAAGAGTTAGCACGGGTGGGCCTGAATTGCACTTAAGTCCTTTAAATCTGACAGACTAGGAGATCCCATTAACTGTACTGTGTTGTAGATGTCTTTTTTTTTTAAAAAAAAAAAAAGCCATTTTAAAGCATTTCTCATGAACTTCGTATTAAAATTCCTACTTTTCTGAAAAGTCTACCTAAAAAGGACATGAGGTCCAGATAAGAGAGATCAGGGCTCTTTAGTGGTTTTGAGTCTTCTGTTGGTTGTTTTGTTTGGGTTTTTTCTCCTCCCAAGAGGAACTATTTCCTAACAATTTCTTGTTGTTTTGAGACAAGTTCTCACTACATACCCCTGGCTGGCCTAGAACTCAGAGATCTACCTGCCTCTGCCTCCATTTCCTAAGTCCTGGAATTAAAGGCATGTCCACCACATCCAACACCCCTAACATTTCTAATATCAAACTCCAGTCATAAATATGTTTAAAGATCATAGGATTAAAAGGGCCAAAGCTGTGTACATGTATAACTCTTGAGAGCTCAGTCTCCTAGTTCTATTATTGACGTGACCCTTTAAACAGCCAAATTGACTAGAATTAATTAGTTTGGCACAATGTAGAAAAAGAAATATATAACTCAATTCCCTTAGATCAAGTCTTTTCCAGTCAGAAGTGATGTCCATGGCACCTTCTGGACAATCAAGGCTCTTCTAAGAACCTTCTCCTTTGCTGTGCTCTTGAGTACTTTTGAGTCTTAACTCCATGATCTCCTTTCTCTGCCTTTTACAAAGAGCATTTGGGAAAAAAAATATATATGGCAGCTCACCTCTCCCTAAAACCTGGAAACCCCAGAAAGGACAGAAGAAGATGATGGGGGACTCTTACCCTCTTACCATAGATGCTCACTAGCTGTCAGCTTCATGGAATTGTGTCCGTCCACTCAGAGTGAGGTAATATATTGTATGTTTTGTTTTGCCTTGTTTTAAATCGCCATCTGATAAGACAATGGACAATAGCAAAGGTTTTAACTCCCAGGACTATAACTTATCAAATCAAACTATTTTGTTTACCAAAGAAACATGTTTTTAATTTCACGGGTAATAGTGAAGAGTCAAAACTGGGCTCTTATTTTCCCAACAGGAAGCATCACATGGCTGACGACTGTGCTTTTGTTTGTGTTTCCAAGCCCTGGTTTCATTCTTCTACTGGAAAAGCTCGTTTAAGCCGTGTTTTAAAAAAACAGATTTAAGTGAACGAACCTTCTAATTTGCTTTCAGTGCTGTTGAATAGCTTGTAAAGACAGACTTGGCCGTGCTCGCTAGTGTCTTTACATACGTGACAGATACAAAACTCATCCTAGAGTTGACTCACTGATCCTGGTTGATGCTATCCAATTCCATTTCTAACCTGGAGATTAATAAGTTGGTAGTAAATATTGGTTTTTACAGTGTCTAGTTTGAAAATGTAAGTTATCAAAACGTAAATAGTGAATTTGAGTAACCATGTTGTATTATTGAGAATGTATTTTTATTTAAATTTTATTTTCTTATGAAGAGTATTATAAAAATTAAAACCTTTTGTAACTGTTGTTTGGAAATAACTCAAATAAAGTACAAGAAGCCTGTCTGTTCTTTGTGAGTTCTTACTTACACTTAAATTTCCTGTTTCTTGCCTGTCTGTGGGTAATGTGCTGCAGGAAGACTCCAGGCAGCAGCTGGGAAGCCCCCTGTGCTTTGCTTATACTTGACCACTTGATCTAATTTGTTAGTATTTGTTCACCAGACTTCTCTCTGTGACTTGTAGTGTTCATCAGTGCAGCTCCATCACTCCTGAAGGGAGGCATGGAAAGAATACTCCACTTGTGTCTGGGCAAGCAGCTCAGAACTGAGCCTGCTGGAGTTTCTAAAGAAGGCCTGTTTGTAAAACTCCTGTAGGAGAAATAAAAAAAATAAAAATATAAAATAAAAAAAGAAAGCCTGTTTGCTCTTAAAAAGAGAAAACAGCAGTAAGGTCTTTGGTGATTCAGATCCTACACTGACCCCTGTAAGTACCTATAGCTTCCTGCCTGTATACAGGCCCGTCTGTACATCCTCAGCACCTCATCCATCTGGATGTTAGCATTTGGCCATGTTGTGCTGCACTGACAAGTTATCTCAAGAATACATATCAGCAGTACCAAAGACTAGGCTAGAGATAACTTACACAGGAGAAGCACATCTTAAGATCTTTTCCTGTTCACCCCTTAACACCCCTAAATACAACAGCCCCTGTGCCTCTGGGAGTTTAAGGTTAGCGAAGAATCGGGGGAGGGGTCTGAGTCAGCCTTGTTAGCCATGTGTGGACAAAAATTTGTAATAAATACCAGGTTTTTTGTTGTTAAATTTTGGTTTTTTTCGAGACAGGGTTTCTCTGTGTAACAGCTCTGGCTGTCCTAGAACTGGCTCTGTAGACCAGGTTGGCCTCAAACTCAAGAGATCTGCCTGCCTCTCCCTCCCTAATATTGGGCTTGAAGGTGTGTGCCACCACCGCCTGGCCCCGGTATTCTTTCTAATATATTTTCAGGGCATGGATTGGTTGGTTGGTTTTAGTTTTCTTAATTCTTAATGTAGCCGTGGTTGACCTTGAACTCTGGATCCTCCTGCTTTCCCAATGCTGGTTTTAAAAGTATACACCACCAGAACACTTCTGCATTACTGGTGGGAATGCAAGCTGGTACAACCCCTTTGGATATCAATGTGGCGATTTCTCAGAAAATTAGGAAACAACCTTCCTCAAGACCCAGTAAGTCTTCCTCAAGACTTTTGGGTATATATCCAAAGGATGCTCAATTGTGCCACAAAGACATGTGCTCAACTATGTTCATAGCAGCTTTGTTTGTCATAGCCAGAACCTGGAAACAACCTAAATGCCCCTCAACCGAAGAATAAATTAAATAAGGAAAATGTGGTACATTTACACAATGGAGTACTACACAGCAGAAAAAAATAACGACAGCTTGAATTTTGCAGGAAAATGGATGGAGCTAGAAAACACTATTTTGAGTGAGGTAACCCAGACACAGAAAGACAATTATCACATGTACTCACTCGGTGGTGGTTTTTAAACATAAAGCAAAGAAAGCCAGCCTACAAACCACAATCCCAGAGAATTTAGACAACAATGCGGACACTAAGAGAGACTTACATAGATATAATCTACATGGGAAGTAGAAAGTATAAAAAGATAAGATCTCCTGAGTAAACTGGGAGCATGGGGACCTTGGAGGAGGGTTGAAGCGGGGAGGAGGAGAGACAGGGAGAGGAGCAGAGAAAAATGTAGAGCTCAATAAATATCAATTAAAAACTACACCACCATGACTAACCCTTCTTCCTGATTAAACACACTGTTCTTTAAAGAAGAGGAGCCATACTTTGAATTCCTCTTTCAAACATACATGACTCCAGAATGAAAAATGCCTCCAGCCAAGTAGAAGACCCCTTTCTACTCCACATAAGTGCCAAGTGCTGCACTTCTCTGCGAGCTCTTCACACGGTGACTGTTTGGGATGACTGGATATTCTTAAATAAGCTGCCAGTATCCTTTGATCTTAATTTTTCATATGCATCTTCACTTGAAGTTTGGTCTTTGGTGGCTTTTAGGTCCAGGGTTTCAGCACCAAATCTGAGGGTGCAGTGCAACCATTGAGCCTGACCACTCGGTCAGTAGGAAGGAAGGTTTACTGCGGATCAGCTGCCAAGGCCATGTGGGAGATGGGGAAAAAGCAGAAAGGAGCAAAAAAGAAGGATTTTTTTATATATAGATGACAGTCAACAGGGTGGATGTCTGAACTGGTACAGACTGTTCATGAAGACAGGAAGCCAGATGCCCTTGGAGGTAGTTGGCCTTTGGGGGAAAGATTAAAGAGGTTCCTGGTTAATAGAAACCCACCTTTAGGTCTCTGCCTACCCAGCCAAAGTCCTGTTTAGGATATTGTCACCTGCACTGCCATGTGGTCAGGACAACTTTGGGCCTAACATTGACTAAAAAGCTCATGCATTAGTATGTCATTGCATCATGGAACCTAATTGGGGACAGTGTCTGGCACTGTATTGTGAGGCCTGTATGTACTGACATTTGAGAAGGTGGAACTTATTTAAACCTCTATTAAGTGTGTTTTGCTGAGGCCCAGAGAGAGCTCAACAGCTAAGAGCATTGGCTGCTCTTCCAGAGGTCCTGAGTTCAATTCCCAGCAGTTACATGGTGACTCACAACCATCTGTAATGAGATCTGGTGCCCTCTTCTGGCATAAAGGTGTATATGAAGATAGAGCACACATATAAATAAAATAAGTTTTTTTTAAACTATGTTTTGTGCCTTCTGTTTAAGAATGTTATTGTTCCATACTTTTGAGCCTTTTTGCTTCTTTTTGATTTGTTTTTTGAGGTGGAGTTCAGTCTTGGATGTGTAAATTTTACTCAGTGAGGAAAAGGTCTTTGGAGCAGAAACAACATAGCCTTCCA